AATTAAAATTGCTGGAGACTAGAGATGCCAGAGGCTGCTGTTATTACTAGTGTCTATTTCATTTATAAACTTTGCAAAAGTTAGTTGAAACGAGAATCATTTGAAAGCTCAATTGTAAATAAAAGCGTGTTTTTTTCTTCTGAAATGTTGGCGTAATGGATGGGGCGATTTCATTACCAGTGCAGGTATTTTCTGTCGTCTAATTTTGGAAAGATTCTCATTAATATGTGTAGAGTGACATTGATAGTGAGTGTAAGGATTACATGCGAGAATAATACCGTGGCCTAGAATCACAATTCCAACAACGAGCAACCGACAAGTCTCTTCGTAACCGACATAAAATTCGATTGTACACTCAAATCAGATCTGAAATGTTTTTTATCTGTTCAGTCCCGATTATTACGCTTAAGATCTAACATAGCCATTAAATAAATAAATAAATAAATAAATAAATAAATAAATAAATAAACAAACAAACAAACAAACAAACAAACAAACAAACAAACAAACAAACAAACAAATAAATAAATAAATAAATAAATAAATAAATAAATAAATAAATAAATAAATAAATAAATAAATTCCTGGCGTCATATGAACTGCTCAACACAAAGTTTTCATCATCGCGAATATTACTAGCGGATTGCAAATTCTCCAAATACATAAATATAAAACGTCACAGTTGATACCGTGACAACACACAGTCCCTGTGCTGAGGTGATTTAGAAACAAAGACACCAGGCGACTATATATTATTACAATAAATCGGGTGATGACGTCATGATAGCCGCTAGCGGAACGATGTGCAAATCTCACATAATACTAAGGGTTTAAGTCTGTAATGAATCATGAATCCACAATAGTCGATTTCTCCATGTATAGGACATATGTGTGGGTGTGAGCCATATATCACCCTATCATAGCATTTTTTTTTATATTTGGGTGCAAAAACGTACATTTTTTGTGTGTATATTTAACAAAATATTTATTTATTGTTTGTTTGTTTGTTTAGTTTGTTCTATCTGTTTGTAATTTGAATAAATTTCATAATCCAAAGTTTTTCACTAAGTGTGCGATACTTAAATTAATACAGAATATAAAGTATACAATATATGTATTCATTTGCAGGGATTGGAACAATAAAAAAGCCATCACTATCAACGTACGGGACGTAAAAGCTCTGTTATTTGGCGATCGGGTCACTCATTGGCTGAAAGGGATTCGATCATGATGTAACATTCCGTAGGTAGTACGTCGAGTTGTTGAAATGAACACTTAATAGCGTACTTAAAGTTGAAACGTGACTCGCATAATATGTAGCCTAGTTAACGACACAGATCGACAGATCTCTGTGATTATAACATGTCTCAGACACTTACCTTCGTCAGGTTTACACTGTGAATTGACAGCAGTTAACTAGCAAGGCCGTCAATAACACATGTGTTCAAGTTGTCGTACTTTGGATATCTGACCGGCAGCAACACTCTCTATACAGTATATACACTGTATAGCCACTGCAGCCAGTGTATTGAATACCAATTTCCACGTGCTCACTTATCTCGGCACTGTGGGTTACGATGAATTTAGCCTTTGACTTCACTCCATATGGCGGATACCCGGTGTTTTCCTTACTTGAAATGTCGTCAGATACGTTAGGCCGAGAACGCAAACACGGAAGCTGATTCATCCAGTTAGTACATTTGCTTTCCGCTGAGTGATAATCAGACTCCCTAGTTCGCAACTGATTTTAACGGACTACGTATGTCGGAGATAAAAACCATAGGCGTTTCTTATCATATGTTATACATTCAATAGCATTAAAAGAAAGTGAAACCTCGAGGGTATCCAATATTCATGAAATATGTGACTTTAAGAATAATGTACAATGCAAACAGAATATATATGAACAATATGGCATTATGGTAAGAAGTATTATGGGCTGTATGACTGTCAACCATGTGATGTGCCACTGCATTACTGATCACACAATGTACTATAATTTAGGCGGCAGGAATTGGTGGTGCTGATGAGGTAACCAGGAATTGGCGGTGGTTGGAGCCGGAGGGGGGGGGGCTACTTCCACATTGAGTGGGTAAGGGTGTGAAGCCCACTTCTCGTAAACCATACTCACTTCTAAACCATTTTTTTTCTATTTATATACCCACTTCTAAACACAAGTGTTTTCAGCGAAAAAAAACCCACCCAGCTCACAACTTTCGCAACCAGTGAGCGCATCCGGGCGATGCATTTTATTCAGCCTTTTCCGGTATTTTACTTTGAATATAAGGACCTGTGAAAAAGTAAATAAATGCTACACACTTCTAAACCAAAACATTGATAAATGACCATACACTTCTAAACAAAATAACGTGAAATGACACCCCGTATTGCACTTCTATGCAAGTATCTCTCCCCCGGGGGGTGGTGGTGGTGGTGGTGATGGGGTGATCGGGGATTGGTGATGATAATGGCTGAATCCGGATGATGTTTTGATGTTCGGCGCCTGTGGAAAAGCCATCGGCAACATCAGTTACTCCTAAGTCGTACATTTGTTAACGTTGGTGGCAGTGCAGTGCACATTTCAGAATGAACTGTGAGGGCGGAAATTGATCCTGATAACTCGATCCATGCATCAGATAGCTATTGTAGTGAACAACGATATTTTGTATTATTGAGGTCATGCTAAAATGGTCCGTGGCTAATGACGGCAAAGTGGGTTACTAATATTATGGTTTTTATCGTAATTTAAAAAACGAGTTGTGCCATTGCTCTATTTATAGTCGACGTGAATTGAAAGTTGTGTTATATGATATATGACTAGCAAATTTAAGTTATTTTCAAGAGTAAACAATGAATCTGAAATATTAGTGGTATATGACGTGACAGATGACGTGACGTCTGCACGAAAACATTTGGTAAAAAAACATATGCAGTATGTAATTCACAAATGTATAACAGCAACAGCAGTGGCTGCGACACCATGGGCGGTGGGCGGTGGGTGGGGGGTGGTGAAAAAAATATACCCCCCCCCCAAATGTGTGGGGGCAGCCCCAACCAAAATAAAAATGAATGTTATGTTATGCAAAATTTCAACGCGAGGGATGGTGAGCAGATCCGCCCCATTCAAAATTCCAGAAAACAATTTATAGCATTAGCGGGTGTGTCAAATAAGGCACGCATGGATATATGAGTTGCGCCCTCACTGACATATACAGGTTGTTTTATTCTATGAAGGCTCAATACACAGTCAGCTGGCGCACATACATAATTAATATACCACTATATTTATGGAGGGATGGTCAGAACTTGATTATTTGGTTGTACAATGTTCTGAACTCAGTTCATGAATATCTGACAAAATAAATCGGGGTCACAAAGTTTGTATTTACACAAGATACAATATCCTCTTGAGAAATATAACAGCACGTTTCTCCATATAAACAAGATTGGTTACATTTTTTATAGCGTTGAGACCAAAACAGTAAAAAGTAGTGGTATACTTTGATTTGTAAATTGTAAATGTATATGGAAAGCTGGTGGTAATTTATTATCAGATCTGATTTTTTACACTGTTATTCAAAGGTATTGTCAGAATTTTAAATACATTAAAATGGCAATTTCAATATTTTACCACCCTGCTTTAAACGTACTTGCCATTGTTCTAAATTAGTAGGAAATCTTGATATTGAAATAATGCTTTAACCAGATTCATGCATGCAAGGTAGTTATTTTCAATGTGTCTTTAATATTAAGATTTAATTTAATTTAGTATCGCCGCCTCTGCAATATTATAATTTTGAATTTGCATATTCTTGTTAAATAGTATTGTGAATACAAATTAATGTAAGCAGAATATACAAGCTACAGGTATGGTGCCTAATAGATTGGATGAAGATTCGTCTAATGAGTGAGGTCCCGAGAAACCAAGCCAGCATCCATAACAACACACCAGAAAACTGCGTCGTTGAAAAACGTAAACATAATTGAAACTTTGCTGGGCGAAAATGGCCATGTTTATGCCTAGCAACCATTTCAAAACTATATATATCGATAAGATTTTGCCCAATAAATCTTATAAATTCATTCTGTTGAACATTCTGTTCCTATTGATCATTGACTTATCCACAATAACATGGCTGGCCTTGATTCGTCATGATATACGTTTATATTCTGTATGTCAAAATTAAACACATATATCGACTACATGATTTCATTTTAGTGGTCTCCTATTTCTATCTGCATTGTTATTTAACAAATATTTTAATTAAGACACTTTCATGTTCGCTTGTTATTACCTTACCAAACGGTTTGTCATTGGCAACGCAAATACCTACCGGAGATTTTAAGCCATCCTGCCATCTATCAATCCGTTCAATTACATTCCCTAATGCATGACATTTCTGAATCCTGTGATTATGAAAATCATAGACAAATATATTACCATCCTCATCTGTATCAACAACATTGGGTCTTTTCAGATCACCGACAAAAGTACCTTTCTTTCCAAATTTTCTTATGAATGTGTAGTCGCTGGAAAAAACTTGGATACGATTATTTATCTGGTCAACAACTATAATATTACCTTCATTGTTGATCAATTCCTTTCGGCGACGCGAACTGCATATCCCCGTTACCTCTGCTGTCAAATGAAGTAATTTTATCTCCCGTTTGACTGTATATTCTGATACAATCCCAACTGCTGTCTACAACATAAACATATTCATCAATCGGACTAATTGCAATCCCCTGAGGACACTGTAATTCATCTTTGCCGAACACTCTAACCAATTCCCCGTTCTCATTACACACAACCACCTGTTTGTTATTGGAATCTGTCATGAATATGTCACCATCATCGGATACTGTGGAATAAAATGGATTGAATGGTAAATCAAAACTTGTAAACTTAATAAGTTTCAAATGTTTTCCAGCAAGTGTGAATATTTGCAGTCTGTTATTCCCAGCATCACACACTACAATGTTTCTATTTGTTGTCATGGTTACTCCCAATGGATGACGTAATTGTTCATTTCCCGAACCATCACCACCAAATTTACATAATAACTCCTTTTGAGGAGCCACGTTGATCTTAACAGGTGATCCAGTATATGTGTTTGATAAGCTGTTATTGAGAGTTCATGTACACCCATCATTGTAGTGGTGTACACCACAGAGATAGTATTATCCTTATTGTCAAGAAATTGAACATCTTCAGTATTCTCATCCGATGTCTTCATTAAAGCTTTAACAAAATTGATAGGTGTGGCCCTGACTTTGGTGGATAAGTCAGCGTTTCCTGGTGATACAATGATATTACATCTGTCTCCTACTCGTGGATCCTGTGAGATGCTTGCAATTTCAAATGGCACTCTGGAAAGCAGTTCTCCTAGTGTTCCTGTTGAACAAAACTCACCAGAAGGTAAGAACTCTATGTAGTCATCATTTACCAATTCATGCCGCTCCTTCACTTGGTTCAGTTCTTGTAATTGTGATGCTATTCCGGTCTTTGAAGATATCAGCAGTGTGGGACTCACATAGTGAATCAAGTGCTCAGCAAACTCTTGAGCATATTTCAATCCACTCCCAGAACATTCAAGTTCTTTCAAATGTACCTGTAAATCAGTTTGTTTATTTGTATAGTTCAAGTCCATTTCTTCCATAAGTTTTTTGGCATTCTTTCTCACTTTAGTGGTGATGCTTTCTATTGTCGTCTCGGTGTGCTCTGCCAACTTTTTCTTTTGTAAAGCTAAATTATTTTCAAGTGACTCGGATATAGTCTGCACCAGGACCTGAGCATCAGTTGTAGAAGCTTCCTTGTCTTTAAGTTTCACTACTCTTACTGCAAGTTCCTCTTTGTATTCATCTGCCGCATCTTTCAAATATTTGTGGCTATGAAGATGGTGGTCGATAATTATACATTCAGCACAGACTGCTACCTCACACTGCACACAGCACATATTGATCTGTTGATGTTGATGTTTTTCACAATATTTAGGGCCCTGGGTTGATGAAGGGTCAACAACTTTTGATATATTGTACATGTCTTGACTCACAATACGATGACATCGACAAGATGGGAACTTTTAGTGTGCATTTGCACATATGTCGCATATATTCATAGCACAATCCACACACCTCTTAGTTATTTCACCTTTTTCACAGGCTGCACATTCCATCAACTTCAACTTCAACGACAAGGTTTCTTCGTCATAGAAAGCCTGAGATATTTCTTTGATAACAGCATTTATAGAAAGATCAGATACTTGAACCTCGTGTTCACGTTTACATAGAGGACAATGGCTAGGTTGGCCAGTCTTTTCAACTAACCTAGCCAGGCACCGCTCACAGAAGCAATCAATCAATCAATCAATCAATTAATCAGTCCTGTATATCCCACAAAGAAATGCAAAACCTCCTCGCTATGATTGAATCGCCATTGAATAACAGGCCGTTATCCTACATCTCATCGAACTCTGGTGACCTAATATCATTTACACCTTCACATCTCGTTAATGGACAGTTGATCTGTGGATTGGCTTACATATTTCCTGATAACCATCCCTACATATGGCGGACATTCACATCTCAATAATTGTTATAAGTGCCTTATAAGTTATAAGTGCCTCAATGCCGTATTTTGGAATTCAATTTACCCAACCCACAGTAGTCAAGTCAACCCGCTGAGCATTGTTTCCTAAATGTGGTATTGTTGTATGAGCAAACAGCATGACTATAAATAGTAATCAGGGTATTATTGAATAGACTACATGTGCACGCCAAAGGTATTTATAACCATAGGGGTATACCTAGTCTGTTTAATCAATATCAAAGCATTTTATGATGTGTTATATTCCATCTAAGGCTAAGTAAAACACATTCTCTATTTAACATCAGCGCTCACCTTGATCTTTTCTCAGGGCAGACTGAAAATAAAAGAAGCTTAGAAAAAACTCCCGTGTGCTGGGAGTATTGGAGACATATTATACACAATTTAAGATTAGCATTTCAAACAAAAAGCTTGGCAACTATTATGTGTCTGATATTTGCGATGCACAACATTTATTCAAGATCACCTCTACCACAACTTCAATTTCATTCTGATATTTTGAGATATCAGAAATTCAGTTAGAACTTCAAATATTGATGGAAAGCTGAAAAAGTATGAATTATTATGCAAATTAGGTAAATATTATGAAGCAATTTTGACCTAAAACTGAGCGGGAGTGTACTTTGTCCGAGAGCATATATGTGCCATGTTTCAATTCAATGTCACAGTGAAGATTAGTATTCGAGATATCAGTGGAAAAGTAGAATTTTTTTATTCAAAACTAATCAAGTCTACGCATTGTCCCAGAACATCAAAATACAATGAGTGGTTCTTCAGATATCAGTGGAACAGTCATGGAACAGCTAAAAATTAGCTAATAATTATGCAAATTAGGTGGATGGATTTAACCCCAAAACCTAATAAAATCTGCGCAATAGCATATGGTTATTGATTAATTAGTGCAACATACAGACACACACACACATAGACACTAACTGCAAAGACTCCAATTTTGTGCTTCACACATGGAGTCATATAGAAGGCTGCTATTTCACTCCTATCTCAACAGTCAGAGGCCTGGTTGAGAAACAAACTCTCTCAGTCCAAATGTTTTAGTGTCGCTTATTTTAGTAGTTCATAAAAAGCTTACATAATGGTTCAAGTACTTGACTGATGCTCCAATCTACGGGCCCTCTAGAGGGATGGTTGGTTAGTTGCTGCTGTAGTAAAGATTGAGCAATGACACTATTCCTAGGCATGAACTG